AACCAGTGCTGTGCTGAACCATCTAATATTATAGAAAGGTCTGTAACCAGTGCTGTGCTGAACTATCTAATATTATAGAAAGATACATCACTAGGGTTATGCCAAATCACCTAATATTATAGAAAGATACATCACTAGGGTTATGCCGAACCACCTAATATTATAGAAAGATACATAACTAGGGTTATGCTGAACAACCTAATATTATAGAAAGATACATAACTAGGGTTATGCTGAACTACCTAGTACCACAGCTTTGTAAAAATATTTCTGGAGCTGGAAATTTAAAGGCTGTCCTGCATTAGTCCGACAAACTTAAACAGTCTGACTTACCAAATCAATATGTAGGAACATTTCTATCTGCTGAACATTTGATGACACATAATTCTGATGGTTGATAATTACAATGCTAAGAGTTAGACATCAATAACAGATTTGGTTAAATACTCTCTCTCTCTAGTGACTTTGTTGAATATGGGTAGATGATCAGTATATAATGTATGCTATTGTGTGTATGAAAAAATGGAGGTTTAATATACAAATATGTGTTATTACTTATGTAAATATATTATGATTACAGAATCAAGCTTTGAACTAGCAGCATGTTAACCAAGTCTGTTCAGATACATTCCAGGTTTGAGTGATTTAATACATAAGCAAGAATAAAGAGGGTTGAATATGTTATCTTAAAATGATTTTTAATATTGAAATCAGTAAGTCAGGTGACAACCAAAGCCAACAGAAAGAGTTGGTAGTACAGAATGTATTATATCTACGTTTTTGACATTGCTTGGAATTTCTTGGGTAGTGTGAGTGCTTTTAGGAAGGGTATGTAACAGCCCTTTCTGACATGAAATATTCAAACACTCAGATTATAAACAGATTATCTCTTGTACTTATTGGCATTGGAAAACTAAGGAATATGGGTCAACTTTGGGCACCAGGACTATCCTGAAAGATAGTGATACCTGCAACAAGTCATACCCCATTTGTGGTAAGCAAAGTGCAGTGTATTGTAATAGGTGAGAATCTATGAACACAGAGGTCCGTAGCAAAAGTCGGTAAGCAAAGTGCAGTGTATTGTAACAGGTGAGAATCTATGAACACAGAGGTCCGTAGCAAAAGTCGGTAAGCAAAGTGCAGTATATTGTAACAGGTGAGAATCTATGAACACAGAGGTCCGTAGCAAAAGTCATATTCTGAGTAAAAGTTTGCAATGTAATAAAGAGATGTCTTCATCTGAAAAAGTGACCCCCAGTCACAAGTACGTAAGCTGCTTCTGTGACAAGAGATCTCCTCCTAGAAAAGTGACCCCAGTCACATGTAAATAAGCTGCTTCTGTGACAAGAGATCTCCATCTGGAAAAGTGACCCCAGTCACATGTAAATAAGCTGCTTCTGTGACGAGAGATATCCTCCTGGAAAAGTGACCCCAGTCACATGTAAATAAGCTGCTTCTGTGACGAGAGATCTCCTGGAAAAGTGACCATAGTCACATGTAAATAAGCTGCTTCTGTGACGAGAGATCTCCTCCTGGAAAAGTGACCATAGTCACATGTACGTAAGCTGCTTCCGTGACATATCCATTCAGTTATTGGATACTTCAAATGGCAAGAGAATAAAACGAGCATTCATTTTGTTCCATATGAAACAAAAACATTCTGGTCGGTGAAATTCCTCGATGCAGCACGTATGAATTTCTGTGTGATCAGAATATTTAAACAGGCACTGGGAAATATGTTGTCTTCATACAATAGATGGATTATGGGAAGAAGAAGGAAGGATTGGTGTGCTTTGAATATGATAGCCTTACGATGAAACCTTTTCCAATAAAAACAACACTGCAGGGCTACTTGTCAGAACATGGCACAGTGTAGTGACATGGTCTAATGACATGATGAGTCTCCAAAATCATTTTAATATAATGTACTCAAATTCTGTATATGTATATAAATATATACTCACAATTAAAATATTTTTAATTGTTGTGCTTAATTATACATTATTTAAATTTATCTCAAATAGGGTCCCCCAGTCTCAGGGGCTGGTCCCCAGAGGTCAGGCACGCCTATCATGCCCAGCCCACAAGGTAAACCTTGTCATGAATTAACTTATAGAACTGTATAAGTATGATTAGTGATAAACTGTGATATTGTGAAACCTAACAATAGTGTCATCAGTTGTTGTATGCTCTTAAAACATTTGTGGTGGTTGTTACGTTCCTAATATATTTTCATGTTGGGAACTATATGAACTGTTTAAATATTGTATATAGCTTTAAGGTTTTATATTTTCTTTGTAATAGTGCTCATAAGATACCTTGTGGCACTACAAGAGTTATAAACTATTTATATCAGACACTTGTAATAGTTATTCTAAGATAATTTATATTGTAACCCAGCCAGATGTCTTATCTACACAATAGTGAAACATTTAGTGTAATTAAAATTTTCTTTTACCCATGTCTTATTGGAAACTCTCATAGGGCCAGTATAGAAGCATGTGATCCAAATTATTACCAGTCTTATTAGGATGTAATATCGCACTAACAAATCGTGCTTCGCTAGCTTAGGCATTATACACCATAAGACCTAGTGTGACTGATATCAATAGTATTTCAACTGAGACTTTGTATTATGTAGTCCAGCTGGCTATGTGAGCTCTGGTATAAAGTGAAAAACATCTTGGCATCGGTAGCATAGAACAAACAATAAACACTGTTTAGTGGAAGATTCTCTCGAGCCACTGGACAATGATTATTAAGTCTTGTTGTGATATAGTATCACACCCATTACCCATCAAAATATACATGTTTGTTAAACAGGAAAAAAGAAAAGTAACATAATGTAGTTGGTAAAAATTGATTCAGTTTTGCGCAAAATATGGTTTAGATGAGTATTCCGTAAGAATTTAGTTATTGTGTACGAGTTTGAACAGGTTAGTGTTACTTTGTTTTTCTAACTGAGGTTAGAAAGGAACTCAGTATTCAGGGTTTCATTCTAGGGCCAAATAGAATAAAAGTGAAATTACAAAGCCTGAAAAATTCATATCGAGTACTAGTTTTTATTCAATCCGAATAATCCCTAAGTGAGCAACATGTGTAGGTTTAATGGCAGATGTTTTCTTTAACATGCAGTTTTAAATTATCTGAGATACTCTAGTATTTACTAACGTTAGGCTTTGCACCAGTTATATATACAGTAAACTGCTTAAAGGCCCTACGTGAAACTCTGACTTTTACATGTACTACTATAAAACGCTTGAGGCAAGTAAACCATATCGCTTACTTAGTCCAGTGTTCGTGTATTTTAGGATCAACTGGCCCATTCTCTCCTGCAAGTACAAGAATGAATGCTTCCAACTCACGGCCAGGTGAAGACAGCACCCTCTGTACTGTCTTATTTCTAATACTTTCTTTCAGAGCTTATTTATAACACAGAAATAATTTATTAATTCTAAGTGTGTGTGTTTAAGTATTGCTTTATGAATTTTTCTTCTTTTAAAAGCACACCATTCACTATTTTATACCTGATGTACATCTTGTCTAACACCTACAATGTTACCATTACTCTGGACCTGACGTACATCTTGTCTAACACCTACAATGTTACCATTACTCTGGACCTGACGTACATCTTGTCTAACACCAACAATGTTACCACTACTCTGTACCTGACGTACATCTTGTCTAAGGTGTTAGACAAGATGTACGTCAGGTACAGAGTAGTGGTAACATTGTTGGTGAACAATATTACCACTACTCTGTACCCGACGTACATCTTGTCTAACACCAACAATATTACCACTACTCTGTACTATTATAGTCTTTTATATGTACTGTAACATACACTACATGTTTAGTGAAGTTTTTTTTTTAATAACTTGTTTTGAAGAAGTCTTGTGCTAAGTTGGTACCTATTTACCCTAAATTTATATTATGACCTCATTTGTAACATTTAGACTATTTGTAGGCCTAATTTATCAAATATCATTTTGTAACAGTTCTGTTTTTTAAAAGTACGTTTCAGTTGACAGATATATTTAGATACTACATTAGTTGCAAAGAACATACATTCATTACTTAATTAACTATTAAGAGTAAATTTAATTTTTAATTGTTTGAGAACGTGTTAAGAATAAAAGCTTTGTATGAAATTCTTTTTTTTTAGCAGTTTTTATTTCGCCAAAAAATTGACTTGCTTATTGATTTAGGATAAACAATGCTTTTTAAAACAAAATATTTTCTCTATTGGCTTAGGATAAATATTAGTGTCTAATGAACAACAAGGACTTATGTATTGGTTTAGGATACACAGTGGTTTCTAATGAACAAAATTTACTTGTGTGTAAATAAGTATTGTTTAGTATGTATTTCAACTTTTATTCTGTTTTATTAACAATGATTCTTTAATTATTTTATAATTTCCGTTTCTTTATATGTGAGAACTTTCCATTCTTATGTCGTTACGAAAACTTGGAAAGTGTAGCCAGCTAATATTGATATACATATCCTTCATTATCTCATGACATCTCAGCTTTATCAGTATTGCTTTAGGGTTTTCTACGATGTCAGAAAGACCAGTCAAATGTTGTGTGAAGGTAAAGAAGGGTAGATATTGTAACTAAGATGAAAATAATAGAAGCGTAGCCAAGATAGGGGGAGGGGTAGTAAGGTTGCAATAATAAATATGAGAATAAAATATATCTAAAATTACAAGAAAGAAGTGTAGCTAACAGGGTAAAGTGAGTGTTGCAAGCCTGTAGTGAGAACAGCGTAGTGTTTATGCACATTTCTCATCATTAAACAGATATATACCTACGTAGATGCAGTAACAAAACATATCGGTTGTTTTCCCCACCCACCCTACTTTAAACCAAGAAATTGGTGTAAAACATCAAGGTAAGTTTGATGTAAGTACCTTTGTGGGAGGTTCAAGATGTAACTGCTAACACTAAAGGTTATAGGCTTTAAGATAACATTCCACGGAAGAATGTAGTTTAATGATTCATAAAATAAAGGTACTTGGGCCTTTTCTATTTAGGGTACTTTTTAGGTTGTAATCGTACAGTGACGGACAGGTGAAACCGTTCTTCTATGCTATGTTGAAAGCTAAGCTAGACGAACTGTATCTCTCATGTAGTGCTCGATTGTATACTAATTTTTTTCTAGATTCGTCAAGTTCTGGTGGTGAGAGTATGTATACGATGATGAAATCAGCTCCTGGAGGAAGTATGCCAGGGGTAAGATTAATATCGTTAAATGTACTGGATTTAAGTGATCATTTCTGTGGCTAACTAGTTGATTGATCTGTGTAACAATAAGTGAACGGTTGGAAGTATGCCAGGGGTAAGATTAATATCGTTAAATGTACTGGATTTAAGTGATCATTTCTGTGGCTGACTAGTTGATTGATTTATGTAACGATAAGTGAACGGTTGGAAGTATGCCAGGGGTAAGATTAATATCGTTAAATGTACTGGATTTAAGTGATCATTTCTGTAGCTGACTAGTTGATTGGTAACAATAAGTGAACGGTTGGAAGTATGCCAGGGGTAAGATTAATATCGTTAAATGTACTGGACTTAAGTGATCATTTCTGTGGCTGACAAGTTGATTGATCTGTGTAACGATAAGTGAACGGTTATGATTGTGACTGAGTAGAAAGTTGAGTTGCTAGATAGACAGTTGGATCAATTAGTAAGTGGTTATGTTTGTGACTGAGTAGAAGGTTGAGTAGTTGGATAGACAGTTGGATCATTTAGTAAGTGGTTATGTTTGTGACTGAGTAGAAGGTTGAGTTGCTGGATAGACAGTTGGATCAATTAGTAAGTGGTTATGTTTGTGACTGAGTAGTTGGCTTGGTTGTTGGATCGATTAGTAAGTGGTTATGTTTGTGACTGAGTAGTTGGCTTGGTTGTTGGATAGACAGTTGGATCAATTAGTAAGTGGTTATGTTTGTGACTGAGTAGAAGGTTGTGTAGTTGGCTTGGTTGTTGGATAGACAGTTGGATCAATTAGTAAGTGGTTATGTTTGTGAC